CGTTCACATCCCCCCCCCCACTGTGCAGGGACGGGACGACAGACATCACGCGGACGGTGCACTGGGGGGTCCCCACCGCACTCCAGAAGGTACCAGACCCCCCCAGTGCCAGCCAGCACCCGCCCTGTGGCACCCAGCACCAGGACTGGATGTGGCGGGGGGGCCCCTGGGCACCACTGCCCTCAGCCCCCCCGCCGTGCCCCTCATAGGAAGCCTACACCCGTGTGCTGATGGGCAACATCGACCTGTCCCGCCTCGTCTTCCCACCCAACACGGCCGGTGGGTGCCAAGCCAGGCATGGGGCAGCACAGCCATGCCCAGCCCCCCCCAGGGCATGGGGAGGAGGAAGAGGGCAGGGGGGGCCCTCATCAGCCCACTGGCCCTCATCCCCCTTGTCGTTCCCCAGGGAGAACGGTGGAGGCCTTTGCCCGACGGGCACTTTGGGAGGTGGGACTCAACTACGGCCACGGGACCGGCCATGGCATCGGCAACTTCCTCTCGGTCCACGAGTGTAGGTGCTGCGGCACCGGCGGTGGGGACACGGGCTGGGCTGTGGGGGACAGGGACATGGACAGGGATGAGGACAGGGGCTCAGCTGGAGCTCCTCATAGCCCGGCTGAGCCTCTTGCTGAGGGCGGGTGTCCCCCACCTGCAGGGTGCTGTGCTCCTTGTGAGGGTGGCTCCGAGCTCCTTGCTGGGGTGACTGCGTGGTCCTTGCTGGGGTGATGCCTCGGTCCTTGCAAGGGTGGTCTCATGGTCTTTGACAGGATGGCCATGTGGTCCTTGTTGGGATGGCCCCATGGTCCTTACCAGGGTGGGCCACAGTCCTTGCTGGGATGGCCCTGCAGTCCTTGCTGGAATGATCCAATGGTCCCTGTCAGGGTGGCCCCATGGTCCTTGCTAGGGTGGCTTCTTGGTCCTTGCTGGGGTCGCTCCATGGTCCTTGCTGGGGTCGCTCCATGGTCCTTGCTGGGGTGGCTCCATGGTCCTTGCTGGGATGGCCACATGGTCCTTGCTGTTGTGACACCTTGGTCCCTGTCAGGGTGTCCCCACAGCACAAGCCAACCCCCGGAGCCATAACCCACAGCATGTCCTCTGCAGGGCCTGTGGGCTTCCAGTCCAACAACGTGCCACTGACACCCGGCATGTTCACCTCCATCGGTACGTGTCCCCACCGCTGCAGCCAGCGCCTCGGGCTCTCGGGGCTGTCCCCGAGGTGCAGA